TTTTGCCACTAGCAGCTGAAGTAGATCTTTCCTCGTTTGATCCTAAGGATTGATTCTTGTAAACAGTTTTTCCATTATCAGTCATGGGAGCTCTTTTGGAGCTAGAATTTCCACTGAAATCAAACTTCATCCGTGGGCAAGAAGGCATTTTCTCAACTTTAGATACGGCGGAGACATCCTTCCAAGAAGACTGCTCATAAGGTTTCGTTTGCAATCCTTTTGGTGGAAGAGCGGACTTCAGGATTTTAGATGTTTCACGACCATTACAAACATGAGAGCTCACCCCATTGGAAGCAATGCTAGCCAATGCTGGCCTCTGGTTGGTACGAGAGAAGAAAAGGATGTAAACCTTTTCAGATAAGACCTTTTGCAAGGTTGAAATTGAGACAAATGAATCGTTGCAGCAATACCACCGACCTATGGCATCCTGTACATAGATCATGAAAAAGTAAAATAAAACAAGATGAGTATTTTGTTGATTAACTTGATAATAAGGTGTGCTTTAAATTTACTGATTACAACGAAGGTGATAAGTGAACAGAGACCTTAATATATGCATAATAATGACCAGATTCTGGGGAGAAGCCTGAATGCACAATAGTACCAAATAGCTTATACTCTGGCCGCGGATCCTGCATAGCAATTAAAAAGTCAGCATCATTACTAATAGGGAAGCAACTGTCTGCAATATCTAGAAACAAACAACAGTCTCGTGATACAGAAGTCAAATAAAATGCCTGCATCAGGATCAAGTAATATTTCTAAGTTAAAGGATAGCATCTTGAAATCAAAAGCACTTTTTAGATAACCAAAGACATGAACTTCCTCATTTTAAAATACAAGGAGATATGCAACAAAGAATCAGAGACCACAATGCATGTACATTATAACTTCCCAAACAAAAAACAAATCAGAACAACCAATTCAAAAAAAAATGCAACAAACAATACTTAGTATTGAATGACGCAACTGTTACAGCCTTGTTAACTACAATAAAGCACAAAACTGAATAAGGCGAACTTAACACAACTTATCGAGGATGTCTTTATTGTCATTATAAATAAACTCTGCCTTATACGTTTCTTCTCATATTTAAGTTGCAGTCAAATGGCTTTTTGTTTTCCTTTCTACTTCCCCCTGAAGGAAGAAGGCATTTCATTAGCTGGAAAAGATGGTAAACCCCAAGTCATAGATCAATCACGAATACTGGGACCACCCAAAAAAGGTTTCCCGAGAAATCACACTTGTGTGCATTGTTAATTATGTCTATCTCCTCTTCAGACTGCAAGAGGTTACGGTGTTCATAGTGTTAAATGAAATTATACAACATACCAATAGAACAGTTGACGAGTTGGATGTACAACTCCACTCAGCAAAGCCTTAGTCCTACTATCTGGATAATAGATGGACATCTCTGGTCTAAATTTTTAAACCCTTCTACAGTCCTATCTAGTTCCCATTTCCCATTTCCAGCTCTACATTTTTCTTTGTTGAAATGTAGTCCTACACTTAATCAACCAAGACATCAATTGGAGTTTCCTTCTCCAACCATGTTAACTCCCACACTGATGCTCGATGCACAGATTGAAAAAGGAAAAAAAAAAAGAATACTTAAAACTGCAGTACCATCCATACTGTGTTGCAATCACTTAAAAACAAAACAATAAGAAAACATTGTACATGCCATTGTAGCAAATATTTTAAACAACTATTGTGTACCTTTTTTACTTTACATCCCTCATTTATATTGGTTGATTTAGAAATTCAAGAAAAACAAAGTTCATGATTAACTGCCAGTTGGCTTAACTCTTCTTAAGAATATTAAAATTTTATCAAACTCTTGAGTATTTTCTTAATAAGAGACTCTAGTAGCTTTAGAATCTTAGGTTCTTTGAGAACTTTAGGGCATGCTTAACAAACCTCTTTTTTTCCCTCTAAGAAAGAAAAGTGCTGGTATGACACCGTACCATAACATTCCAAACTGAATCACCTAGATTTCAACAAGCTTCTAGTGCCCACTGTATTCAAACAAAACTTATAAAGTACAAGCATATATTCGACCCGGAAAACAAAGCTTAAGAAAGCACAAGCATCAACTTGTTGGAACAAAATACTGTACCAGTCCTGAAAAACCTTTGCTAATTCAACTAGGTGGGGACAATCTGAAAAGAACTGGATAGGTGTTTTTCATAGGTTCACTACTGTCATTACTGCATATCACACATCCATATTATTTCTAGGTATATATATCATATGATTTGCAAAGATCTAGAAAGCTCGATAGTTATCTGGTCAAGGGTTCAGCGTAACATGGAGGCTAGAGAGTTTAGGACTCTATGTCCTAAAAAAACAAGGTAATTGTTGCTATGCTTGATAAGTTCATTGTTAATGCAATATCTAATCTATCTAAGCTCAGTTTCCAATTAAGCAACTATACACTATCCAATGCAATGATTTCATTAAACTGACAGGTTAAAGTCTTAACCGTACCTTGCTTGTTTTGCACATGAAGCCTGAAAGCACCAAAACCTCCTCAAACGAAATGGATTTATCAATCTTCCCGCCAAGTATACCCTCAAATCTCTATCAACAGACAACATAATAACATTGTCAAGATAAATTAATGAACAAAAATTAAAATGGCAGGATGGAGCAACTTAAGCACCTAACAGCGAAAAGATATTAGGAAGCAAGATAAACTCACCTTAAGTTGGATAACGAGAACATTGGGTGCTTGAAGAAAAGACATTTGCTTCCGTGCTGCGACCAATTTGTTACAACTAAGAAAGCATACATACCACAATCAAAATCCGAAGCAAAAAAAGAAGTACAAAACACAAAAAAGACAGCGAGAGAGAGAGAAAGATGATACCTTTCGCATTTGTACTTGTTCTGTCCATCCAAATTCTCGGGCTGAAAGAACCTTTGCAAAGCGTCTTTAAGCGAATTACTATGCAAAACATCAAGACTAATATCCATTATCTCATCAACCTTATTGGATTCTGTGCCACAGGATAGACATTTCACCTGGCTCTGCAATGCTCCACCAAATATCTCCTTCACCACCGTTGATGTTGCCGCCTCTCCATTGCCTATGCCGTTGGCCACATTGCCGTTGGCAGCCTTTCCGTTGGCAGTGGCATTACGCTGCAGCTTCATGAGCCGAAGGCAGGTGTTGTGGCAAGCATCAATGACGTAGCGCAGGAACTCATGAGCATCCTCCTGTCGACCGCCCCGAAAGTGTTCGGCAAAAATCCCAAGACAGCTCTGTATCTTCTGCGGCGCATCCAGACTGAGATCCAGATTCAGCGACCGCACTATCCGCTTCTCCAGAATGCAAAAGGGACAGTCGCGCTTCCGCTCCGCATCCGAAGAGTCACCTGCACATTGAATTGGACGTAGTTTCGATTGAATTCGAATTCAAACTCAAACAAAAACATAGGGAGAGGAGAGAGAGAAATTGAACTTACAGAGAGAGGTGTGGAGTTTGCGGAGGCAGAAATTGGCGAGAGGAGGGGTGTAGGTGAGGCACTGGAGGACGCTGTTGAGGTAGCAAGAGTTGCCGAGGTTTTTTAACCCTAGAGGCGGCAGGCCATTCTTGCGCTTCTGACTCAGTAGACTCGGCTGCCAACTCATCTGCAATTGGAACTGCAGGCCCATCAACGACGAAGACGACCATCGCAAGACGACGCCGTTCCGATGATGATGCACCACCACCACCCCAACGGCATATCTCTTCCCCCCTCCAATCTCCTCTCTGATCCTCTACCAGCTATTTCTTCCGGCGGAAAAAAAAGCGAATTAAAGAAAAACGAAAATAGCAACAGAAAAAACAGAATTAAATATTAAATTGTTTTTCTTTTAGGATTGAATAAGGTAAGAGTGAGAGAGAGGGAAGAAGGCGGCTACGAACAAACAGAGAGAGAGAAAGAGATGTGAAGAAGAAAAAGGAGAAGGAGACGAAGCAGGAAAAGCCCTCCAACCTCTTTACCTACCAAACCCCAAAAATCCCCCCAACTTGTCCGATTTTCGAGGGTTCATCTCGGTCTTTACCCCTTTTTTTTTTTTTTTTTTTTTTTTTTGCGTCTTCCCAATTTATGATCTGTACAGTTGGATGTCGAATCCATTCCATCAAATTCATCAAATTCGAGATCAACGATTGAAATTTGATCAGTTACAAACGAAATTTTTTTTAAAAGTTTTAATAATTGTAGCAGCCACCTCCTTCAATGCAAGCATATGACCAAAACCGTCCATCAAGTGAATGTGCAATTACAAGATAGAAATTTGATCAAATTTCAACAATCCGAATCTCTAAATTTAATGAATTTGATAAAAGAACATTTCCGTAAAAAGCAGGCTATGGGCCAGTCCCATCAAATATCATCCAACTTTTTTTTTCTTTTTCTTTTTTATACCGAGTAAAATTCTTATCTGCCTAGATTTGCAGTCCCATCAAATGTTTTCTATCGCATCTAATTGGTTTGGTTCGGCCGGTTTGAAAACTAGGCAGTTTTAGACCCATCCATGTTCACAAAAGCCCAACAGTACAGAAATGATCGTGCACCCATTCCACAATTTGTGCACGACTTGTGTTATGATGAGAAAACAAGCACAACCCAACAGAGTCTGTTGTTAAAAAAATAAATATTCCTGAACGAGTTTAATCTGCATAGCGATCAAATTTGTTGTTTGATGTTGGAAGTTCGGTTCCCACGTAGGGTCATATGGTCAACAATTTGGCTGCTGCCTTCACAGGAGAGATTTTTGCGTCCCCATCGAAGAATTTCTCCATCTACGCGGGAGGAGGAATGGTTGCTACACATGCGACAGTCACTTTGGACGCCATACAATCTACTTCTTTGTTAATTTCCGAGCAAAGTAGAACCGAAGCATCCCCAACCAGAGTCATCCGTGTGCCAAACCACAGCTTTCGGTTCAGTTTCTAAATAAAAATTCTACACATAACATGGCCTAGGAAATCTGGCTACCTTACCTTCTGAATACAAAGTTCTGAGAATGTAATTAATCATGTAAAACGGTAGAGGTTCAAACTATTAATCTTGGACAGAGTCAGCATCGTATGTGCCCATGCAGCGATACAAATGTGAGCTATAAAGGTCATCAAGAAAGTTATAAACCGAGTGTGTTCCTATGACAGTGACTCTGGCACTTGCTTTACAGATAAGTCATCTATGATTAGCAGAAGCACATCAACTTTTAAAATGCCACCAGTAAATGTCTACCTCTGTGATGCTGATACAATTGTGTGAATTTCTCATCTTTAGACTTTGAATTGCAGTTCTGCTTCGAACCGTCACAATATTTACCCGCCACAGGAGCAGCTGCAACAATGATATAAAGACGGAAGAGCTTAACCACCAAGGCTTCAACAAACCGTAATCTCAAGGGCCAATACTGTATTACACAATCCATCAATTTATGGGCAGTTGCAATGTAGCAACCCAAAAAGATTTTAGGAAATGAAGGATTTCGGGAGCAAACATTTTGCAAAATGTACAAGTAGCTTGTACATACCTCAAAAATAACTAGGCTGAATGCTCCTGTGACATCTTTACTTGTCAGAATTTGATGATGCAGCCGTTAGTATAGGTTGAGAACTTTCAGGTTCGTCAGAGTTGCCTTTAGAGACTTCCTTTTTTAACTTATGATTATTATATGCCGCTACACCTGCTATGGCTGCAAAACAAAATTAATGTACCATTATTGTGTGTATTGGTTTGTAGGTAATGTTCGCTTACTAGAAAGTTTGATACGTTATGTTGTTTGTCAATCAAAACTATGCATTCAAACATGTCGACATTACTCTTCATTTATAACATGGTATTTCCGAGTTGCACTTCAAAAGAGGAAAAGATATGATACTGTGTTGTCTAAAACATCCCCCATCAGATATCAATGAACACCTAAAAACTAAGCCACTTTAAACTCAAAATTGTATACTACTAATCAGAACCTGGTATCAACTCAAAGACCTCTGGGTTATTATAACATCACAAACTACGTATAACCTGGCGGTATACATTAAAATCAGAAATATGTAGAACTCAAAATACATCACCGACAAACAATGATTCTAGAAAACAAACAAGAGATCGTTAAAAGAGACAATGTGCTAAGACATGTACACAAGGTCAGATACTTACCAATGGCATAACCGGCCAGATTTATAGGAGTGAGCTTTGTATCAGCAAAAATAATGGCAGACAATAAGACAACCACCCAATCCTTGACAACTCCCGCAACACGAATGGTCAAGGCACTTGTATGAGTGATCACTAGGAAAACTGATAAGTTGAGGGCAAAAGTACACAGAGAGTTAAGTGTTAGCACAAGCAGTGGAAAGTTCCATGAGCTATTTTCTTCCATCTTTGATTTCTCCAAAAAGATCCATGGAACGAAGAGGCAAAGAGCACTGCATACCAATTCAATACTTAAATCATACTGGTGTAAAATGTTTTATAAAGTAGAAAGGCAAAGCTTGAGGAATTTTACAAGTAGAAATGTATACCTGCACGGGCTAACATAGTACATGAGAGATATTGGATTTAATTTGAGACCCTTCCTTTTAACAAAAATCTCCATAAAAATAAGTCTTAAAGCTTCTCCAACCACTCCTCCCATCTGATAAACTACTCCAATCCAGCTGATATTTATTTCACCGTAAGAAGCCACAAGAACACCAAAACTTATCACTGACATGATCAATAGCATTCTGCCGCTCATTACCTCAAGTCCTGCTGCTACTCCAAGAATGAAAACAGCTACTGGCACTGCATGCATATGTTGTTTACGAAATCAGACTCGGATAGAGAATTCCTAATCATGATAACTGTATAAATAAATCGCCAGACTTGTTGAACAAATGTACTTTCCGACTGCTGAATAAACAGACAGCCATAGGGCCAACCATCATATGAAACAAAAGACATTGCTCCGGATGCCCCGAGGCTTTACAGAAGATTAAAAAAACAAAAAAAAGTAGTGAAAACTTACTGATTGCTTTCAACATTTGTGCAAATGAAACAGAAATATACAAGTAGGCAGTATTTCCCAGCCAAAGAGTCATTGCAAACATTGCACCAATTGGCATTACTGATGTCACGTATCTGTATAACTAAAACTTCATTAGATTCTGAATGGAAGATCAGTAAAAAAGTAGACGAACATGAGATGATATAAATTATTGACTAGTCAGAGGATAAATGATCTTAGCATTAAGGACCGGCTAGAAAAAAATGCTCAAGTATTTTTCTTTCCCATTTTAGGGAAAAAATTCAAGCAATTCAAGTCAGCAATAGGATCACTTCAATTCCAAATGCTTCACCCGTGGAGGGAATTGTATATGGGTAGCAACTAGCAAGCCAAAAATTACAATCCAACTTGTTGATTCTAAGAACACCAACGGCTTAGTGTGTTATACTTTCATAGTATATTTAATCTTCATAAGATAGCTGGAATCAGTTTAATTAAGAGCCAAAAGTCATTATCATTATCTTTATACGTCTGAAACAATGAAAATAGCTCATTGGCACCATCAAGCTTTGATACGAACATAAATCCCTAATTATTTGGTCGCCACAAAAGAGACTATTAAATTTATCTTTAATTCCACAAAGATAAGTAATATTCGACAGAAACCATCTATGAGGGGAAAAAAATGTAAAATTAAGTGTATTCCCTCCTTTACTTACATTTCTACAGTCATTCCTTCCTCAACCTTCAAAATCTGTAAAATACCAGAATAAAAAAGATAAATTTGATTAACACTGGAAAATTCGAATTTAATGATTATCACAAAATTTAGTTACCAGCATACCTTAAAAACTTTCGTGAGTAAAAAGCATAAGACAGAGGAGAAGACCATGTGAAGCAGAGTTAAACCAAGAGGATAAGGGAAGTTTATTTCCTTAGACGACAAAACCCACTGCATTCCACAGTTTAAACATTATGTAAGTCATGTAAAACCTCTCACAGGAAAGTATCTCAACAAATTATAACAATTCAATTACTTCTTTCAAAATAAATGAGAGTAATATTTCGTAAGTAGAAACCTAAAAATCAACATAAAGTAACAAGGAGCTATCAAACTAAAAAAATGCTGACACGGTGAGCATTAACGCAATCATGCACAGACAGACATGCAGAGGGTGCTTTATGTTTCTTTACTGTAGACCTTTATCAAATTTTATTATCACTCTTTTTGTTTCAATACAAAGTGTTTGCTAACAAATTCCCCTAAAGTTAGGTATTGTAGAAAGCCCCTGACTATCTTATCAACATTACCAGAACGAGACCTTCAAAGCTGTACTTGACTTCCATTTTTTAATAACAATCCACGGTCCTCAATCATAATCAAAGAAGATGTTGGGAAGCCAGTGAAACCGTTGATTTTCTTGAGAAACTAATACCATATCAAATACCAGAACATAGGGTATTTATAAGCTATGCATGTATTTCTCTCTAGATGTCAATAAATTTCATGCTAAGGCTAAGGCCCTAAGATGGCCGTCATGAGAACAAGATGTGAACTTTTTGTGTAAATTCTTGCCATGGCAAATTCTAAAGCACCTCCTCAACTTTTTGTGCTTCTCTGTTTCCATTTTTTAATGCATTGCAGTGCATTAGAGAAAAAAAGCGCACAACAACTGCTCCTGGAAAAGCAATTAGGGAAAAAGAGCTAGTTTATTAGAATGCTTCTTCGAAAAGCTGCTTCTTTTCGTTTTCTTTTCCTTTCATTTCCTTCAATAAACAGGCACAGGCAACAAAATCATCCATCAGCACTTAATCCATACACTTTCAACAAAAAACTAAAACCTAATTTAATTTCCAAATCAATAAAATCACAAAACATGCAATTTATCTTTCACCCACACTCACAATGCTGCTACTAATTACACTAAATGGGTTTCCATAACACCAAAAACAAATCTCAAACTACACCATACGCATGTAAGTAGTCAAACTCTGATGGGGTTTTCTCCAATTTTGACATCCCAGAAAATTCACACCAACATTTTCCCACCTACCAAACGAAGGATAAGACCAGATGTTGAGCGAATGCTAACAGATGGAAAGCAATATGAGTACCAACCTTGTTGAAGAAGATCTGGCCGCTGGAGAGCGCGATGTAGAGAAGAAGGTAGGCATAAGTGAGGACCTCGCCCTTAAAGAAACTACGCATCCGATCCGCCATTGACGACCCAACAGATTGGAAACGGAGGTATGCAGATAAACTCTGTGCAGCTTTGGATTGTAACAGACCTATTTCGCTGTGCAGAGAGCGGTCGCGAATAGCAAAAAAGCGTTTTTCAACCAAGTGTTGGAAAAGTGCTTTTGAGAAATGTTTGCAATCCGAATGAACGTCTGCCAATTACGTAGCTTTTCATGAAAGGAATGAGTAGGAAACAGGAACAGGATCTTCTTATTTGGTTTTTCTGGTAAGCAAGAACATAAGAAGCAACCGCAAAATTGGCAATGGATCGTGGATTTTTTGGAAAAGAGTTGGTCGAATCAAATTGGAAGGTCTGGTAGGCTAATTGAATTTTCCTTTGTGTTTAATTCAAGAGGGGCGTAGACTGTTGACATTATTTCGATTGTTGACTTATGATGCGTTTGTACACTCTGGCGCATGCGTTAGAGCTCCCAAAAAGTAAAAACCTAGTGCTTAGGCCATATCTAACCAATGGTTGGTCACATAACTCATTTTAGTTCTCTGACCTTCCAATATATTAATATTTGGCCATATTTGTCTCCGTCTCTAACCAAAGGCCAAAGGGTTAGAGGGCTCGTTTTAGCCCTATCACAAGGAACCATCTCTAACCGAGGACCATAGGGCCAAACATAATTTATTATTTAAAAACTACAACTTAAATGTTGTTTAAGTTTTATGTTGTTAAATGTTATTTTTTAACAAATATGAAAAACTAGGAGTGTTTTTATTAATTTGTTAAATGTTGTTAAAAACTACAAATTTTGTAAAATAAAAGTTGTAAGAAAAAAATAGAATTTAAAAAAAATATATGAAAAATAGAAGTTACAGGAAAATTTTCGTAAATAAAAAATAATAATAAAACTGTAAAAAAAAAAATTAGAATCATTCTTGTCGGTTAAAACCGATAGGAATACATTCATATTATTTAATATAAATGTATTCATGTCGATTTTAACCGACAGGATTTCCATTTTTTCTGGCCAGCCCTCCAACCCTTTGGCCCTTTCGAATTCCGTGGGGCCCTCTCAGATTCCACAAGCCTTCTGGAGTAGCCCTCAGTTGGAGAAGGTTTTTGGGGTATTTTCGATCCTCTGGACCCTTCGGTTGGAGATGGCCTTAACCATCACATGGTGGCTCACTGATTGGAGATGAATTTCTAGAAAAAGCTGAAATTCTTTATGAGTTTTTTTCACCTCCAAAAAGGTGAACAGTGGTAACAAAGACACCAACCGGTCCCTTTTGAAAAAAAAAAAAAAAAATAAAAGAAAAAAGAAAAAAAAGAGCTTTCATGAAAATGGCTCGGACTAAGTTTATTTTAACTAAAAATCATAATATAATTTTATTTAATGAAAAACTCTCAAATTTTAATAAAAAAGACACAAGAACTTAAATTTTAATGAAAATGACACAATTTAAAAAATAAAAAAAACCTGAATCGCAGGACCATGCATCCATTACAAAAACTGTTTATGAAACTGAACACTATTTATGAATCTAAACACTACTTATGAAACTAAATGGTACTACACTATTTATTGGTCCAGTTTCATAAATAGTGTCTAGTTATTGGTCATGTTTCATAAATAGTGCCTAATTATTGGGTCCAGTTTCATAAATAGTGTATAATAATTGGTACAGTCTCATAAATATTATCTATTTTGTGGTCCGGTTTCATAATTAGTGCCTAGTTATTTGTCCACTTTCATAAATAGTGCCTAGTTATTTGTTCACTTTCATAAATAATGCCTAGTTCTTGATCATGTTTCATAAATAGTGTCTAGTTCTTGGTCCAATTTCATAAATAGTGTATAGTCCAACTTCATAAATAGTTTTCATCTATTGGTTTAGTTTTAGAAATAATGCCAAATTTTTTGTTTCATTTCATAAATAGCGTCTAATTATTGGTCTAATTTCATAAATAATGTCTACTTATTGGTCCAATTTCATAAATAGTGTCTACTTATTAATCAAGTTTTATGAATAGTGTTTAATTCTTGGTTCAGATTCATAAGGTTTGAAACTTAGACACTTTTTGGTCTTATAAAAACACTCATTGCGCCAAAAATGATAAACTCAAAAGTGATTGTTTAGATCAAAACCATGAGAAAATTATGTTCTCAGTAATTATATTGAAAAAGCTATTTTCAATTACCAAATTAAAAATTCCCTCACATTTTTTACATGCCTACAATAATTAGCTCTCCGTTCAATTTCTTTAGCTTGGGTGTCACCTTAGAGAAAATTTTCTTTGTGTCCGTAACACAAGTGGTACACCATGTGTTATTATTAAATAGTGGGAAATTTTATTTTTTATGTTATTAATTTTTTAACATAAAAATCTCACTACTTATATAAAAATACGTGATGTACACCCTTGTTCCTGGCACATTAAAAAATCTCACATCATCTTGACTACTATTGAAAAACACCACCACAAAAATAAAATTAAAAAATGTAACTCACTCTGAAATTTTTTTCTTATACAGAGGAAAAAAAAACTCTAAATGATAGTTGACAGGAGAAAAAAGAGTGTGGAAAGATGGACAAGGGGTGTGGTTAGGTTTGGGTTTGGGGTGTGGCGAGGGGATGGGGAAGCACGCTCGACAAGTTTTGTGTTTTTTTTTTTTTAATTCTTTTATTCTTATCATTTAATAAAATTAGTAAATCGTTTTTTATTAAAATGTAAACTTTTGAAATTCTTCTCATCAATTTTCCTTAAAGTTTTGCAGTCCTGCTCTCCTAAGTATTAATTTTGAAGACTAGCCACATGGTTGTTAGAATAATTCAGCCAATCAGCACCCCTGAATTTGCTTGTGATGAGCAATGAAATATCACAAATTAAATTATTTTGACTATTCACTTTCTACGTAATTACAAATTAAAGGTATGTGACATTTACATTACAATTTATAATCTATTATATAAAACACAAATTAAATACTTATTAGGTATTTATGAGATTGGATAATCGACTATGTTTAACGTATGTTGAAGGAATCGCAAACTTGAAAGTATACCACTCGTTAAGGAAACTTATCCCTTCAACCCCACAAAATGGTAGGAATAAAAGAGAATAAAATTCTTTCATATCTGATCCCTTCAATACCTTAAATTTTATTAAATATCCAATCCAATCTAATTCTAGAAACAATCCAGCCTTCAACATACACCGAATGTCATAAGATATCCAATCCAATCCAATTCTAGAAACAATCCTGACTTTTCTTATACTAGTATACAATACATGACTTTATCTTCTTGGTATGTGCATACATTATCCGATAATGGCATGTTGTAGTACATGGGGCTAGAAAACCCTTCTCCTCCACCCCTCCAAAACACCGATATTGCAGGAAAAATTTCGGTTCGTTTGCCCTTGAGCTAAAGGCCTAGACTGTTGCAACTTCCATCCTTAGTTACAATCACCATACCGGTGTGTTCCGCTGATTTTACTTTTCATGAAAACATTGAACATCCGCTTTCCTTGTTCCCTTGGATCAACCGCTCTACACATATATTCTACAACGCTGAAGATCGAATCAAAGAGTCAAAACTTTGTAGCAGAGATTGTAACCCTAAACTCTCATTAATACAAATTATTACTTTGTACACGTATTCTTGTTTCATTTGTCGCAAAAAATTTTGTGTTTACAATAATATGCAAAATATTTTTCGATTTTTACTTTTTAGTGATAAAATTATATAGAACATTGATAGATAAACATGTGTAATCAAATTAAAATTTTGAAGGATCAGATAGTCAATCAAGATTTTGAAAGACTCACAAATCATCTTTGGCTGGGAGTAGACATCTAACATCAAGCATGACAACACTGAAGAAGGATAAAAGGAGGGAAATTTGACCCTTGTCCTTAATATTTCTATTTTTTTAATTAAAATGACAAATCCTTATTATCCCAAATCTCATTTTTTGGGGTTCAGAAAATAATAATGCAGGAGGAAAACTGTGAAACACACAAGGGTTTTGTGGATGAGACCCTCTCTCTTCCCCTCATCCGATTTGGTTTCCAATTCCCACCTCCAAATGCTCATCCATTCCCTCTCTCTCTCTCTCTCTCTCTCTCTCTCTCTCTCTCTCTCTCTCTCATGAAATTATGGAAAGAATACATGAGCCCCACCCAGTTTGTCTGCATGTCACCCCAAACTTATAATCTCTCTGTATTATCTCTTCCATATCTATTTTGCACTGCTTCCTCTTCATGCACTTTGTTGCATAGTCCTGGACTCAAACTTCAGGTCGGCTTCCTCTCGGTCCTCTGCTCTTTCATTTCCCTTCAATTCTGTGTTCTTTCTTTTACTAGTACTGTCAAACTACTTGGAAAGACTGTAACTTGTTGCCCAAAAAAAAGAAAGAAAGATTGTAACCTAATACTACTCTAAGTTACACTAAGGAGACTCAAGACGCCGTATGTTGCAGTGAATTCAGTCTTTTTTTACAAGCGATACGACTACTCTTAAGTAATCATTTTGATCATTAATGCATGATCATATTGAATATCAAAGGGATTTACTTTTCCACATTTGTAGTTGACATGGGGTCATAATCTATCTTTTATTGCCACCCTGAGTACATATGATCAGTGGTTTTGATTCAGTTAGGTGTCGTCTGTGTGTGCGCGTGCGCAAGCACTGTTTCTTAACGCAAATCTGTGTTCTTTACTTCTTCTGATATTTGAACACTTTCTTGTTTCTAACTTCCTGGAAAAAGAGAAAAAGGGAAGAGAAAGTTGTGTGCGTACGCAGAATATGATCTCATTGGCTTGATGTTGATGTTAAATACATGTTTTTCAGGGAAGCGTTGACAGGCAACTTCTAAAATGGAGATAACCAACGTCAGCGAGTATGAGGCCATCGCGAAGGAGAAGTTGCCAAAGATGGTCTATGACTACTACGCATCAGGAGCAGAGGACCAGTGGACTCTTGCTGAAAACAGAAATGCTTTCTCCAGAATTCTGTAAGAATTCAATCTTTATCCGGAGATACCCAGTAAAAACTAAAATGTTGTAGTACTGGATAATATTCATCTTGCAGTGCCTTTTTTTCTGTATAAAGAAAGTATCAGTTTTGGGATTCTCATGAAACAAACATATTGTCATCAAACATAGGTTTCGACCCCGTATTCTCATTGATGTGAGCCACATAGACATGACCACCACTGTTCTGGGCTTCAAGATCTCAATGCCAATCATGATTGCCCCAACAGCCATGCAGAAAATGGCTCATCCTGAAGGTATGCTATTGTTTCACCTTATTAAGCTTCAGTAGTTTTTTCATTCGGGGAAAACATAGCGCAACTGGTGAGCCATCTCACCTTGCTCTCGCGCTGATATTTGGATATTGCGTTTGAATTGTACTGTACCATGTGTACTAATTTCATCTTTGCCCCATGTAAGCTGTTGACAACATAAGAGTTACCTTGATATCTTTATTTACTGTGTTGCAAACAATTTACTACCTATTGATTAGTAAGTCACCCCAAGGTTACATGGTTAAAATATTTTCAACAAGGATAGTCACCATCCAGTGTGCTGCTGAGCTTGAGAACTTTAATCTGTGTAAATTTGTTTAAGAACAATGAGAATATTGTACAAAGGGCACACGTCTGCTTGATCCATTGTAAAATGGCATCCAGTGTCATACATGATACTCTTTAAAGAGGCCATGGTGTAGTCCATCTGATGATGCTATGCGAATTCTTGCAGGTGAATATGCTACTGCAAGGGCAGCATCAGCAGCTGGAACAATCATGGTACGTTGTTGACCTTCATCGTCTTTCAATAGCTATCATTACACTAATAAGATCTTAAGACCATGGGTTCTCGCATTTTATTTATGGATTTTTACATGGTGGTTTGCTGTTATATTACAAGTTCTGTCTGTGTTCTTTACATCTACCCCGTGTTGATTGTTTCAGACCTTGTCTTCATGGGCTACTTCAAGTGTTGAAGAGGTTGCTTCAACTGGACCTGGAATCCGTTTCTTCCAGCTCTATGTAAGCTTAAATTACTAATTCCATTTCTGTTCATTAGTTACGGTGCCTAATTGTCCCTGTTCTTGAGATATGACTTTTGTGTAATTGTTTCCTTGCCTTATGCGTTCCATGTTTTTCGGGTCATTATTATCAGGTCTACAAGGACAGGCATGTGGTTGCTCAGCTGGTCAGAAGAGCCGAAAGGGCTGGGTTCAAGGCTATTGCTCTTACAGTTGATACCCCAAGGCTCGGTCGCAGAGAAGCTGACATCAAGAACAGGTCAACTTCATGTCCATAACTGTTATAGCAATACCACTTGCTGAAAAAATTCATATCAACCTTGTATGATAAATAAATTTGGTGAAGATTTGTATATGTACGTGTGTGTATTTTTATTTTTAACGGTTCAATAAGACTATTTCAGTTCGGCATTTGATGTAAGCTTTACATCTGGGAAAATTCACTCTTGTTAATACCTCTTATTTGGTATCTTGCAGATTTACTTTGCCTCCGTTTTTGACACTGAAGAACTTTGAGGGTTTGGACCTCGGAAAGATGGACAAAGTGAGTACAAACTGTGCTGTCCTAATTTTAAGAACAATGTTTTTTATGTTTAATCTGCTGTGTGGGGGTCTTGCAGGCTGCTGACTCTGGACTTGCTTCATACGTTGCTGGTCAAATTGATCGTTCTCTGAGCTGGAAGGTATGTCAGAGAAGACCGAATGTTAGAGATACATGAACTTCTAAGCAAGGCTTATAATATGCGCAAATTTAACCTGGTGTTCATAAGTTATTCAGCCATCTACACTGAGTTTAAAAAGTATCCAACAAAAGAAAAGGACGGAATGTCAAGAAATGTGTTATATATCTATAGACTATTCAATGGAAGGAATTTAAAAGTACAGATCTTGATTCTTCCTTCTTTTGACGAAAAGTATGAAAATTTAAAAGAAGGAAGGTGTTTTGGCTGGGAATATTTAGCTGGACGTTTGTGAGGAAGCAATGTTTTCTCGACATGTATGCATTTTTTTAATAAAAAGTTACTGCGCATCTGATGATCGGTTTTTCTATTTGCACAGGATGTGCAGTGGCTTCAGACAATCACTTCACTGCCTATCCTAGTGAAGGGTGTTCTCACTGCTGAAGATGGTATATATTTCAACTCCTCTTCTCTCCGCCATTCTGAAAGGTTTGTAATGCTTGTATAACTCTTCTACGCTCTTATCATGCAGCAAGGATTGCAGTTCAAGCCGGAGCAGCTGGGATTATTGTGTCCAACCATGGAGCTCGCCAACTTGATTACGTCCCTTCGACTATCATGGCCCTAGAAGAGGTACAAAAGCTTGATTTTAGCTGTTTGGGGTGCATCTCCTCAGATGTGTTAAGTAAACCTGCAATGACATGATCCTAGTTGTTCATTATGTTTTGATATGGCGCTGCTGTCTTGATAACTAGGTTGTTAAAGCTGCACAAGGACGCATTCCTGTTTTCTTGGATGGTGGTGTTCGTCGTGGAACAGATGTCTTCAAAGCATTAGCATTGGGTGCCTCTGGCATATTTGTAAGTAGAGTTTTGATAATGATTTTTCCATATCAGAGCACTTAATCTATCCATATATTACTCACCCACACGCTCCACGAAAAGATTAACTCCAATTCTCTGATGCAACCTTCCGAAATACTATGCTGGGTATAACGAGATAGTTAAGAAAATGTGCATACTATGAAGGGTCCGTATTGCTGCAGACTAGTCTCCTAACTATGCTGGTTTTATCGCCATTACTCTAGTAAAAGTGTAAAACAAAATCCATTCATTCAGCCAGAGTTTTATTTATGTTCTTCGTTATACTGTCTATCAAAACTTACTGAGACTCGCTTCTCTCGCAGATTGGGCGCCCTGTGGTGTTCTCTTTGGCTGCTGAAGGAGAGGCTGGCATTAAAAAGGTACTGCAAATGATGCGTGAAGAGTTTGAGCTAACCATGGCATTAAGTGGATGCCGTTCACTCAAAGAGATCACCCGCAATCACATTGTGACTGACTGGGACGTTCCTCGCCCTCGCCATCACCCCAGGTTATAGAAACATGCAATGAATAGCGGTGGAGAAATCTATACACGTTGAGAGTTGATGTGATCCGTTCCACAGCCTGCCTTTGTTCTTGGATTCCCTAATATTTCTGCATTTTCTGTAACGAAACTGATTACTGGATGTTGAGATAATATTTCCATGGCTACTGTTGCTGCCTTTCACTGTATATTCTTTCTATCAAAATGAAATATATATTGATCGTTATATGCCACCTAATGTCCAGATTATTGAAATTTTCATTAAAAATAGTCACGCGACCAATTGTTGTATGACATTACCACCTGAACTTGTTTTTTTGTGTCGATTTATCCCTAGACGCCATTCAAGTTTAGGGGAATAGTTTTCAAAACCCTCATTCTTGATTCTTCTAATTTTTATCAAAACACTGTTGCAGCTCTACAATAGCATTTGATGGCCTTTCAAAATCTAACCCCCATTGTTTGAATGCGAATATTTTTGCTCACCAACCTTGAGTGACGGTAATGCTCGCCGCCTGATTTATCAATTAGTTCTTTTATGGAAAAACAAATTTAAGTAGCAATTTGGCACGAAAAAGAAGTGGTAAAGTGACACAGAATAATAGTTGTTGCGCTACATGCATTAACAGTGAAAGGAGATGTACAAAACCCTACATCAAGACTATCAACGCCGAGCCCGCTTGCTTTGCAATGAGATGCTTCGAGGTCATCTGTATGATTCTTAATGCAAAATTACTCCAAAAACTGCTCTCCTCACAGAATTCGGCATTAACGAATGATGGAGGGAGAAAAACAATGTATATTATACTCTGTAAATAATGCCCTCAATAACCATTGAGTACTACAAGCTGACCGGCCATTGCATGAAAACCACGCAGCCAAGTTCAGATACTTTGATTCGTTTCACGCTTCAGACTCTCCATTAGCTTATCAACAACCGCTTATAGCCTCTTCAATGAATCTCCAACTCCTTGGAAGAAACAACAAGACAGTACAAAATCTGCGATAAAGATCCCAACAAGAGATATAACCACAGCCGAAGTTGTTGACTCCCCAACACCCTTGGCTCCTCCCATAGTAGTAACTCCCCAAGCGCAACTCACAATCGATATGATCGCGCCAAAAACCTGTGACTTGATCATTGCACTAATTATATCCCATGGCTTGAGAGCTCTGCAAGCTGAATCCAGAATAATGTTGATGCTAACACCATAAATGCCATCAGAAAGGAGGGCGCTGGATGCCATCCCTACTGTGAAACACATTAGAGTCAGAAACGGTAGAGCAATACAGGTAGCAATCACCCTTGGAGTGACAAGATAATCAACTGGGTCTGCCCCAAGAACTCTCAGTGTGTCAGTTTGCTCAGAAACCTGCATTGTACCCAACTCTGCTGCAAATGAGCTTCCAATACGCCCAGCAACCACGATTGATGTAATTACAGGACTCAACTCCCTTGAGAAAGCCAGGGCTAAAACCCCACCAACGGCTCTGCTTAACCCTAACCTGGTAAATTCCCTAACGAATTGGATTGTAAAGGCCATGCCAACAAATGCTGAAGTCAAGAGACAGACCCCGACTGAACCTGGCCCAACTCTCTTTAATTGCTCAAGTGTATTTCGCCAATGCACTTTGCCCTTCAAAGTTCTCAAAATAACCTGTCCTGTCAGGATAAGGGCCGAAAACCCCCTCCACAAATACGTGGGAGGTGACCATTTGTGCAACACCGTCTCCACTTCCGGATTGGGTGCATGATTTGTGTTTGAATCTTCTAACACAGAGGCAGAAGGATGGCCATCATCTGTGTTGGGAACCGCAAAAAATCTGGTTTGTTGCTTCGGCAAGAGAAACTTACACGATTGAGGTCTTCTAGTAATCGGAACTCTCCTACCAAGATGATTTGAAGATGGGGTTTGTGATTTAATCCACCCTACTGGTTTTAAAAGGCTTCTTCTGTCATATGTTTCAAAACAGTAATCAAAATTCAAAAAACATGAACACAGAAAGAAAAGAAAAAACAATGAGAAGTGAACATTTATAAAACTAGATACCTGTCAGAAAAATAAGAGAACGGATGAAGATATGAAGCGGTTTGCATCATTGGTTCTGTTAAATTTTCTCAACTTTTTTTGGATAACAATAAAGTCTGCTTTCTGATGTTTGCGCAGAGCAGAAAGCACCACAGATCAGTGTAAAGTCTGGAAATGTACGTGAAAAGCTTTCAAAAACCAGCGAACCCAATGCAATCATTGGGGACGGGCCCTCCCCAGATTACCATGCTGTTCAACACCATTCATCAACAAACACACAAGACGTGAACAAATCAAATTGGCCCGTAAAAAAATCATTGACAGTAATGAACTTCTTTAGAGTTAAATTGAACGAGCCAAAAGAGACTAGTGTTCATCTAGACCAAGTGTTTTGAATTTTTCTTTTCTTTTGCGATTACAATCGATATTACTACTCTAATCTACACTAAAGCGAGGGGAGAATTTCAACCGAGACGCATTGAAATTTGACACCAATTCCGCATCCATTTCTTGATCAACATAGTTCAGCAAACTTTTAAACATATAGCAGCTGAGAGAACTCCAATTCCCAATTGTACAATTTTGCACCCCAATTAACAGCATACATCATATCAATTCAACAAAAAATGCAAAAAATATCAAGATTGTATAAAATCATACGGAAAATATAATATTTGAAGAACGTACCTTGGAGGATCAACGGCCCTGATCAAAGCACGCAAATTCAGAACGCTAACAATGGCGAAAGCTCGCGGCTTGCGGATGGTTGGTGACGCCAAGTCAGAGGCAACTCGGATGAAGTGTGAGTCTTTTTGGTCCACAACAAATGACTGAAAGACGAGTGTGTATAGGCCCATTTTATTATATTGGGTCTTCCAAGCCCACTCCAGCGGCCCACTTTGACATCCCAACACACAAAATCATCTTCTCCGAGACTTCAACTGCAAGTCTGCCCTCTCAGTCGGAGATCGGAGTCCAAAACGTACAGAGAATCATGGCTGGCAAAGGCAAGCTTTTTCTTTCTTTTTCTGAAAGCTCGTATCTTTGCAGTTATGCTCAGATTTTACGAGGAGTTTTGAGTTTCTGATTGCAGGAAGGAAGAGAGGGAGGGCTTGCGTGGTGGTGCTGGGCGACATTGGGCGGAGCCCCCGTATGCAGTATCATGCTCTTTCGCTTGCCCGGCAGGTAACCGCCGCCTATCTGAAATACTACAGCTGATTTAGCAACAACCCAATTCTTAAATTTGTATTTTTGCTTTTGAAATGTAATTTGAAATCGGAATTCCTTATTTTTCCATTAGAAATTTGGACCCTTTCGTGATGTTTTCTATTGAACGTGCGTTTCAGGCGTCTCTGGAGGTAGATATTGTTGCATATGGAGGTACGTCTTTTGCTTTGATGGTAGAATTAGGTGCAGTGTTGAGCGAATTTGAATCTAAATGTGACTTTATAGTGCTGATTCGGTATTGAGTTGTAATGTTTCGACAGGTTCCGAACCCCATTCTTCTGTGCTGGAGCATCAGGCCATTCACATACACAAAATGGTATTCATTGTTTACATGTATATTTTCTTTTTGCCATGAGATCTTAGAATCGAATTCCTTTGGTCGTCCACAAGGTTAAAGTTTTTGTGATTCTGGTTTTCAGCAGCAGTGGCCGACATTTTCGCGTGGCCTTCCCAGTATACTTAAACCCTTCGTGCTTTTGATCAAGGCATTGACTCAGTTTTTAATGCTCCTGTGGTTTCTTTGCGTTAAGATACCCGCTCCCGATGTATTTCTGGTTCAGGTCAGCTTGCACTGCTCCAGTTGGGAAGTTGCAGAAGCTTTATAAACAACACAGTGTTTAATTGTTTTTCCTTGACAAGTTTCGAATTTGATTAATTAGTTGCCTACAAGTTTCAAAATTTGAGGCTAAAAGTTTTAGTTATTTCCTTAATTCTGTAATTAGAGTAAATGAACCGAGTGTAAACTTCCCTTTCTCCAAATCCTATGATTCATTTTGCTTGTGCAGAATCCACCTTCTGTTCCTACCTTAGTGGCTGTAAAATGGGCAAGCTGGTTGAGGAAATCTGCCTTTATTGTTGACTGGCATAATTTTGGATATACTTTACTGGCATTGTCTCTTGGAAGAAGTAGTCAATTTGTGGCAATATACCGTTGGTATCTATTGAATTTTTAAACTTTTCTTTGAGGGCATATTCTTGGTGATGCAGTAGATTGAGTTTTTCTTACCTGATTAGGTTTGAGAGGCATTTTGGGAAGATGGCAGATGGTTCCCTATGTGTAACGAGGGCAATGCAACATGAATTGGCTCAAAATTGGGGGATTAAGTAAGAGGGTCAGCTCAGTATTCAAAATTTATTTCATTATACTTCAAAAGAAATCATTATCAAGTATTATATATTTACTTGCCTTCTCTTATCTTGCAATATAATAGAGCCACAGTTCTATATGATCAGCCTCCTGAGTTTTTCCAACCAGCTTCACTCGAAGAAAAACATAAGGTGTTTGAATGCTAATACTGAACTTGTTTGGACAGTTCTTTTGTTTTGGATAATTTCGTATAACGTGTGAGTTATCACAGTTGTTCTGCAGATTAGATAAAAATCTAAGGCAGCCTCTTGGTGTTCAAGATTGCACCAGCACTGGTAATATATAATCTGTTTCTGTAAATCTATAATTTGCATCTCAACTGCCCTTCATCACTTAGTAATTTCTTTCAATATCTAAACATATGTTTAACAGAAACAGGGGAAGAGAATACAGACATAAATGAGACTCTGTTTACCACTTTCGTTGGTACTGACGTTACTTCAAAGCCAAACAGGCCGGCACTCATAGTTAGCAGTACAAGCTGGTGGGCTAATATTCAGTGGAATACTTTTAGTGTAACATGAAGGACAAACCCCATGTTTACAAACATTTGATTTTCAATTTTTATTTGTCTTCTTTATTATTGTCTTACGATAGAATACTTTGGATTTGAATGGTGCTTTACAGGACTCCTGATGAAGATTTTGAAATTCTCTTGGAAGCAGCTATCATGTATGATAGGCGTGTTGCTGCAATTTTAAATGAAGATGATTCTACGAAAGAAGAGGTTCTTTGGAAGGAAATCCATAGTGGAAAGCAATACTTGTACCCTAGGCTGTTATTTGTCATTACTGGTGAGTATAACTGCCTTTTTGTTCGAGGGTGTCAAGTTCTCTTTAGCTTTGTGTATCTATTGGAAAACAGAGCAGGTTCTCTTACACGCACTTGCACATTGATTTAATACATGTAGGTAAAGGGCCTGAAAAACAAAAATATGAAGAAAAAATTAGCCGATTACACCTCAAACGCGTGGCATTTCGTACTATGTGGTTGTCTGCTGAGGACTATCCATTGCTTCTTGGTAGGTCATTTATTTCCAATTGTTTGTGCTTTGTCCCCATTGTTTGTTGTACATTATGTTCTCTTTGGAAAGTATTCAGTGTTATACATTTACATTTGCAGGATCAGCAGATCTTGGTGTATGCTTGCACACATCCTCATCAGGGTTGGATCTTCCCATGAAGGTAAGGGATATACTGAATGCTGCACTAGATAAGATTTGCAGCAGTATAAATTTTCTAGAACTGCTTTCCACTTTACCTTATTGTACATTTTTTGGCAGTAGGTCGTGGACATGTTTGGTTGTGGACTGCCAGTTTGTGCTGTTTCCTACTCATGGTAAACTCTTGTTTTTATTATTTACTTTCTTTATGCGATAGGAACCTTACTTAGATCACACACTTTATGACATTTGGGGATGCTGTACATTAAAATCTGATGTCCTTGGTTATGATAATTTTGGTTCAAAGCATCAAGGAACTAGTGCAAGTTGAGAAAAATGGCCTTCTCTTTTCATCATCTTCAGAGCTAGCTGATGAACTTTTGGTAAGCTGGCCAGCTTCTTGTTTCTCTTTCTGGATGTTTTGAGTCTTTTGACTTCTGCTTAAAAATGATTGTAACAGTTAATATTTACATAGATTTCGACTCTTAGGTATATGAATGTTCTTATTTTTTGGATCAATTAGTCATGCCTGAAAAAACCTCATCTGCAATTCATGTAACTTGTAGTTCAGAAAATGTTCTATTCTTTGGCCTCCAGTACAGTTTTCTGTATCAGTGGTGGTAAAAGAGAATACCAAATCTCATAAGTTTGGTGTCTCCTTGTGCAATATTAACGTAATTGCTTCAATTAATGGTTCAAAATTTTTCATTACTGTTTAGTGCAGTTTCTTTATGATAATGTTTGTCTCTGATAAACCTGCACAGATGCTGTTTAAGGGTTTTCCAGATGCATGTAATTCGTTGAAGGTTCTCAGGAATGGTGCATTGGAAATGGCTTCATCTGGTAGGTGGGCTACTGAGTGGGAAGAGCATGCCAAAGCATTAATACTAGAGGTAAGTTTACGATATGCATGCATATCAGTCTTAGTTTTCAATTGTTATACTTTAGGTCTCATTACGTTCTAGACAATAATCTTTTAAGAAAAAAGATGGATTTTGTATTCTATATTCTTAGCATCCTTTTACTGAACTGTTCAATGGCCATGAATCTGATTAAGGGGTTCTGAAATTGCAGGTTATCTCTAAAAACTCAGATTGATTTCTGGTTCCGGGTGAAAGTTGTCTAGTCGATGAGGTAATATCATGATACCATTTATAGTTTCTTTTGTGCAACCCAAGTTTCACAGATTAATTTCCTAGGACGTACTGGACGAACGCAATTGTTTTCCCCACTTTCTGTCACTCCACGCATTTGATGTAAAGTATGCACATCGCATTCTGAATATAGAATGTTGGAAGATAGTATAAAACATGACCATACTTTTGTTTTGTGATGTGAATTCAAAAAGGAACTTGAAAACGGCCTGGTTATTTATGAAATTTACTTTACCAGGTTTGGCAGACCAGGCAGTTTAGGTGCCAGTAAATTAATTTGCAGATTGGAGAATTCAGAACAGCTTCTGGGGATGTTATCAAAATCGTATATACAGCCATCACGCGTTGAAATATTGTGGATACTTGCAGATTTTAGGCTTTAGAATTGGCTTGTTTTGATACCCTGTTGAAACAGAACAAAAGTACACTTTTATGTATCTTTTGGGTCAAGTTGCATGTTGCTTCTTTCTGAATATGAATTGACGCTAGTATTTCAGATAGCTGCTAAACACTCATCCCGTTGTCTTATTTTCTCACCCATGTCATATTTAACCCCACTACAAAAAGTTAAAAAAATAAAATGTTATTTTCTCACCCACTAGTATTCCTAAAATAACCCTTAATATATATATATATATATATATATATATATATATATAATTAGAGATAAAAAGTCACAGAGCAATGCTTCAATTATACGATGTCGACAAATCAAGATGACCTAAAATTATCTTTTACCTCTTCGACGGTAACATAATCAACTACTTGTTTCATAGAAGCATCATCTTCTAAGTTCATTCTCTTTGCTTTCTCTGAATGATAGGAGATAGGAAGGATGAGTTAGGGTTTAAGGAAGACAAATCGTCTAAACATAGCGTGAGAGTTATCACGTTCAAACTTTCTTTTTCTTTTTTTATAAATTTTTTTTTTTAAAAGTAATGCAAAAGGGGGTAACTAAGGTCCTTATTAGTTATTTTACAAATTTACAAATTTGTAATTAAAAATTTCATAAAAATGTGGGTGAGAATAACAGCTCTCTTATTTTATTTTTGGGTTAAAAAACGTTTTGGTCACTGTTCTTCAATTAAGGTAATTCTCTCTTTTTTTAAATCTACTTAATATTGTTAAATGAATTTGCAACATTTTAATAGATACATCCGTATTTTCAATTCAATATTCTAATGTATTTTTAACAAAAAGTTAATGGAAGTGACCAGGACTGCAAACCTTGTACAATACAGTGCCAAATTGGCTAAACTGAAAACACACTGACTAAAATAGATTTTGACCATAAACACTGATAAAAAATGTTTTTACCTATGATTAAACAAAACAAGTCGTCCTTTTTTACTTTTCTCTCTTTCTGTGAGAGTTCTTCCCCCTTTTGGTGAGGGTTTCAATCTTAATCCAGATCTTTAGCGTCAACTCTAGCTTCAGCTAGAATCGGTTGCCACTTTCCCCTTTCTTTTGTTTTCTCCTCTACTGTTTTTCCCCCTCCTCCTCATCTTGATTTGCCCTCCTATTCTTACCTTGCTAACATCCCATTTCCTCCTCCATCTAAGTTTCGATCTTCAGCCATACTTGTTTTCGAGATGGTGCTTCGAGTTTCGGTGTTTTGACCAACTCGAGTGTTCCCAACACAACCACATTCTCTATGTTGTATGTCGTGTTTGGCATTGTTGCTCATGGTATTCCATGAGCTTCTTTTTATAGACAACCAATTGATTTCTTTCAGTTTCTGGTTATCTTTACTTTATGGCTGTGTTCGGGAAGCAAATTGGTGTTGGATGATGAAATTAGTGAGGCGATGCTTGGTGGTGAGCATGGATTTATGCAGGTCGAGATGCACTGTTTTGGAGGAGGTAGTAGCAGCGGACTTCTCGTTTTTTTTGTTTTTGGGCCTCAACTGTTTGGTTGGGCTCTTGTTCGTTTGGTGTTTGGCCCATTTTTTACTTGGTTATGTTTTCCTGTTTCTGGGTCTTTCATTTATAAATATGTTTCATTGTAGTTAATATAGTTTCCTTGACCCAAAGAAAAAAAAAGTTTTTACCTTTATTTTATTTTCTCTCGTTCTCTACAACATGGGATTTGACCATCCAAGCAATTAAGCCTTAAAACGTAAACGCTAGGCCAATTGGCCAATTTAGTGTGCTAGACACCGTTCTTTGTACCTAAGTTTAAATCCTTAAAAATAAAAATTTAAATCTTTAATTCTATAAATTAAGATAGTTTAGAATACTCTAAAAAAGGAAAATTGCATAGTTATGAACAAAATGAAATGTCAGCAAGTGGTCTTTTATTACAGTAATGGAAATCAGTTGAACCCTTACATGATAACATGAGTTCGAATCCCGTCAGTGATTAATCTAATATCTAAACTAAATCTATCGTTTGACAAAGAACAAAATGAAATGTCAAAATAACAAGCAAATTAATCTTTTTGCCATGTTGGTTCAGTTTGGGTTCTAGTCGGGCCCTTGTCACCTTGTTAGACTTTTAGGTGGGCCATTCGTATTTCTGTTACCTTCCATTTAGGCCCTATATCGGCCGGCCCACTAATTATTTTATTTTAATTTTTGGTCCGCAATTTGTCGGAGAGATGGTTAGGGTTTTAGACTGCAGAAATCAAGGTGGCGGGGGTTTAAACGTTCCAGTTTCAATAGCAGAAAAAGCTTCGCTTGCAGCTGCAGCAGCATCAATGGGGAAGAAGAGGCAGAGGGAGAGGCACCAGAATCCGGAGCCGTTCCTCGCTGAAGAAAATGGCTCCGTCGCCTCCAAGAAGCGGACCAAGTCGAAGCAGCACCAGCAGGAGGAGAAGCTCATATCTTCCGGAATGAGCTCCAAGATCCTCAAGCAGGCTCTGGCTCAGCAGCGGGAGATTGAGGACGAGGAGAACCGCGCCCAAAACCCTAACAATTCGTTGCTGGATGTATCGGAAGAGCCGCGGAAGGAGGAGGCCGACGGCGAAGAGGAAGACATCGATGATTTCGGTGGATTCTCCGAAACGCAGAGCCATTTTGACGGTTATGAAGTGAGTTTTGATTACTAATTGTTTGTTTATTGGATTTTTGAGTTTGTTTGGATGGTGAGAATCTGTGAGGAAAACATAGGAAATTTAAAATGAATGCTGAATTCTGTTGTTTTGTTACTTTTATTATTGTTAGGTTTTGGTTGGATGGAAATAATTTGATTTGAGAACGAAAGATGTTTAATTTGAGTTTCAGGAGAGTGATGAACATGGTGAGAAGCTATTAAATGAGATTGATGAACATGATGAGAAGATATTGGAGCAATTCTTGTCAAAGAATGCTGGTCCGCAGCGTACATTGGCTGACCTCATTGTTGCAAGAATTAAAGAGAAAGATTCAAATGTCGGCTCAGGTAGATTCGGAATATGACTTTGTTGCTCATTAGCTTAAACTGAAGGTCTTTTCTTTAGTATATTTTCACTTGTTGATTCGATTTGTTCGGTTGCAGATGCGAGGCCCTTGCCCAAATTGGATACCTCCATCATCGATTTGTATAAGGGGTAAGCTATCCTTTCTCTTATTAGTACATAAGATTTGAAAGTATAGATGTGATTCGAGTAATGTGAGGCCATGAAGACGACTTCTTAATTTTTCGATGTTTGTGCAGGGTTGGTAAGTTTCTTAATAAGTACACTGCGGGGAAGATTCCCAAGGCATTCAAACACATCCCTTCAGTGCCACGATGGGAGGATGTCCTATATTTGACTGAGCCTGAGAATTGGTCACCAAATGCAATGTATCAAGCTACGAGAATTTTTGCTTCCAATTTGGGTAAGGAGAAGGTAGAACGTTTCTACAAGCTTGTGTTGCTCCCAAGGGTGAGAGAAGACATCCGCAAGCATAAGCGCTTGCATTTTGCACTATATCAATCTTTGAAGAAGTCTTTGTACAAGCCTGCTGCCTTTTTTATAGGAATACTGTTTCCCTTGTGTGAGGTAAACATGTCATCCTTCTCCACCTAGTAGCAGTATTTTGAAGTTTAAGCGTTGTTTGTTTACTTTGGAAGCTCATTCATTGATTTCATTCTCCTGGTATACTGAAGTTATGGGTTTCTGTTGTAAACCTTTTTTGCTAGTCCATTCGTATTTATCCAAACTAAGTTTTTGAGATCTGATATTCACCTCAATTTCATTATATTAATGGGATGCATGGATCTAAAAGGTTTATAGGGCTTTGGAATGAATGTTTTTCTAATCCTAATGCACTCTCCCTGTGGCCCCATTTCTGTTTCTTCTTGAGCAGTCAGGGACATGTAATCTAAGAGAAGCTGTTATTTTTGGGAGCATTATTCAGAAGGTCTCCATTCCTCCACTTCATTCTAGGTATGTTAGCTGCCTTATCAAGATTTGGTATTGATCCCATGAATTGTGAAATCTTTTTTGGGCTTTTTGTTTAAAAATAATTTGAGAAACCAATTAAAGTTATTACGCACAGGTCTCCTGATTATATCTTATTTCTTAAGCTAGGAATCTATGGTTCCATAACTTTTCTGTTTTGCTTTTGTCTTGTCTTGTATTTAGCAAGTTATTCTTTCATTTTCTGTTTCCGTTGGTGGAAGTTATACTGTTCTTTAATATTCTTAATAATCCATCTGGGAGATCTCTGATACATGCTTGTGATGTGTTTTCAGTGTTGCTTTAATGAAGCTGGCAGAAATGAAGTACTGTGGCACAACGAGGTAAACCATTTAGCATTTCCAAAATGTTTTGAAAGAAATAGACATAGCTTCTCTTAGAGTATGCAGTTACAAGATAGGGGCATTTGTCCCGATAAAAGTTTGAAAGAAAGAAGATATTTGTTAAAGCACAATCAGTTTCCATCTGTGATAATTTATCCAATATAATGAATTTAAATAGTTGATGGTTGGTCAGTTTGGAAGTACTCTTGTTATTATAAAGGGAGAAGGTCCTTGTATGCAACAATGTTTTGACAATGCTGTTTTTATGAATTGTTGCAGTTATTTTATAAAGCTTCTTTTGGATAAAAAGTATGCCTTGCCATATCGCGTACTGGACGCTCTTGTTGCACATTTTATGAGATTTATGGAGGAAACAAGAGTAATGCCTGTGATATGGCACCAGTCACTTCTTACATTTGTGCAAAGGTGGGGAAAGTTTTTAATAGTTTCTTCCTTGCCTAAATGATGCAGATGGATTGCATATTTGTAATATTGTGATATAGTTTTAATAGTTTTGGTGTGCATAATTCCTTGCAGGTACAAAAATGAATTGCAAAAGGAGGACAAAGATAATCTCAGAAATCTTCTTGAAACGCAAAAACACTATTTGGTAGGAGCATTTTCTCTTGAAGTATTTCATTTCTGTAACCATGTGGCAATAATGTCATCTGTATTCGGTGATTCAATTGTAGGTAACCCCTGAAATAAGAAGGGAACTAGATAACAGCCGCAATCGTGGTGAGAAAGAGGATGATCTCATGTCAATTGATATCCTTTGTTCATTTTTGCTTTGAATTTTCATTTGTTT